CCTATTTTCTGGAATTCATTGAGTAAGGAAAGCAGAACGAGCAGATACTGAAAACATCGCTTCCAGCTCACATAGAGCCAGCATGCGAGCTCCAACGCTCATGGAATGTTTAACGCTGAACTAGGAGAACCACTTACGAGGCGATTATTCGATTTTTAGTATAAGCTACTTGTTATGAAGATGGAAGGAGTGACATTCGGCGCCTCCTAAAGTTAGAAAGCTTCCATGGAATTGACGAAAAAACGGCGGTTCCCATGAGTGACAACTGCGGGTTGAACCAGTGAAGGTTTCTAACTTCTGTTTATGAGTGTTTCTCTAACAAACTTAACTCTGCTCTCTCTCTCTTGCGGAGGTGGTGTAGTGACAAGTGGCGCGCTTACCACTCGCGCGGCGCCGGGTTCGAATCCCGGGTCGACACCCGCCCAGGCCAACCAAGCCTTCTACCCTCCGGGGACGGTAAATTGGTACCAGATTCGTCTGGGAGGATAAAACACTGACTTGTACATCGGCTGGCCACCGCAAGTCATTGTATAGGCCACATCGCATTCAATAAGCCACTACGATTCTGAATGGAAGTAGAATGCGTGCCGCATCCCACAAAGGGATTGATCAACGGCGAAGACTTTATCTTTTTATCCTTTAAGTTACCTCTGCAATAACATCTGCAAGAGAGGGGTTAGAAAGTAGAAGCCAACGACGAGGAGTAATGCCATTAGTTTTGTTCTGGAATCTGTCGGGGAACATCTCGTAGAAGTCCTTGAACCTGAACCAGATATTCTTGATCTATGAATGTTCTATTATATAATTGGATGGTACTATGCGAGCTAAAGATAGTAATAAGAAAGAATAAATCGACAAAGTATTCATTAGTATTCAAATACCCCTATTCAGAGCGTCTATGTTAAAGACATGGGCACGACCGTCGGGGCGGGCAATTGCTGCCAACGCCATTGGTGGGAGGGCGGAGTGACATGTGGCCAAACGCCTTCTCGCAGCCCTTCCACCAATGACATTGGCAGCCGCCCGTCCCAGCCATAGTACCCCTACCACTACCTTTGAGGCAGCAGAAAAGACTCACGTGTTGTTTTTCAGCAAATCAGAATGCAGTGCAGCTACTCCATTGGTAACATGGGAACATACAATGCACAAATGAGCCATATTGATCCGCTTCTGAAGAAAAACTATGTGAATAAAAGTGTCTCAAAATGCTATCCAATTATGAGTTCAAAGCATCACCTCTCCGAACTGATCAGCCTCTTCGACAATGGACATACGACGCATTCTGCTAAAATCGCCAGGATAACGAGCGGACACTGTCTGAAAACCTCGGATATTATCTGATAGAGTATCGTTGAGCATCTGTAACTGCATACTAAGACCAGGGCACGTCGTATGTTGGGACCCCCAGCTAGGGGGCATATTTGGCCGCTGAAGGAAAAGGCGTAGTTGCCTTTAAAAAGAATATTTGTTGATGTTATTCTTGTTGGCTTTTCTCAGTTTTTCCTGTTTTCAAGTGCGCTATATACGCTGTCCTCCCTCCCCTCCCGGAAAAATTTGGGAAAAGTAGGACACAGGGAATAGTCAGTAAGGTGGTAGGTAACGGAACGGGGGTGGCACCACGGAGGACTTGGAAGAGTAGCATTTGGCAAAATTTGGCAGGGCGTGCTACCAAGGACCTGCATGCCTCAAAAATGAACGGCAAAAAGAATCAGATATGGTAAGGACTCCTGAGGAAGAACTTTGAACTCGCCTCAATGAACTTCAGGTTGATTTCATAAATGATTTCGAGATGACGAGGTAACATATGCTGAAGCATTGAAACGGGCCATCTTTCCAAGGCTTCGGGTAGCAGAGTGTGGTTGGTGTAAGCGAATGTTTTAACGCAGATATCAAAGGCTTTAGCCCATGTAAGACCTTAAAAACGATACGAACTTGATAACAATTGACATTTAATGAAAGGAGAAAAATGCTTCAGTCGCTTCGTTACCTTCAACATCTACGAGTAAACGCATCAACTCAGGAATTCCAATGGAAGGATGAGTGTCGTTAAGTTGGATTGCAACCTAAACATAAAATTTCATATAGTTTTAGACAAAATTCACTTTGAACTATCAGATTATCTTTCTCAGAAACTGGATTGTTTCATTCTAGTAATACAGTGAGAAAACAAATAAAAAGGTTGCATCGGCTTCAGGTCAGGTTGATGCCTCTTTCGTCAGTTACCCGCTCCCAGTGACTAGGGACCGTTTGGACAACTAGCAAATCCCTCTTTTCAAAAAAGTGCGAAAGAAAGCTAGTGACCCCAGCTCCCACGACAGGCAACTTTTCGAACCGTTAGTCTGGAGACTGTGACTTCTTTCGACCAGAACAGCTGAAATAGCACAGTAGGTCGGGCAATAAACACAGACAGTGACGGTTTTGTTCTCTGTGTAGAGCACTTCGAAAGCCACAGTGCAGGAATCCATTGTCATAATGACTATCAGCTTGGACCCACGTAACTTCTGATGACAGAATACGGTAGGCTTCTCGTCTGCATTCATTCGAAGCCAACGCTTACGAGTTTCGGCTCGAAGTTCAAGACCATCCATATTTCCTCCAGAGCCACGGTGCGTTTTTACAGTCGTGAATTGCATCTTATGTGGAGAACATTGTTGCTACAGGCACAGAATCAGTTCTGCATTCTTGCTTGTACAAGAAAGTAAGTCATCCAAGCATACACCCCTTGACTATTCCCATTTTTTCGCGCTAGCGTTGCAGCAGAAGTGCCAGTCTCGCGGGGGAATCCCGACAAGGGTCCAGTCTCTAGGACCAGACAAGCGACGCTTGACTTCATCCACACGTCTTGTGCAGGATGAACACTATGGGATCCTGCCCGACCACCTGAACCAAATTTTCCACACTCCGCTTCTAGAACACTATTACGAGCAACTCTTGGTTAAGTACACGATAAATTTGAGCAGCGCACTTTCTTCTTATGACGACCAAGGAACGGGCGCTAATTTTGATCACTCGGGTTTCACTTCATTTCTAGAGATTCCCTTCTGTGGTTAGGTTAGCCAAATTGTACGGACATAGGTACCATCTTTGAAAGATGTAGTAGCTGGCAGTCCTAGTATGTTTCTTTCCCGCCAATCCTCTACACCTATTCACCTTTTTGAGTGAGATGCCTAATAGAATCCTTACCTTCTCAGGGAAAGCATCGAAGTTCACACGAATGGCGTCTCGACATCCATATTTACTCGATTTGAATCGTCGAATGATATCTTGAAGGGTGGCGGCAACCAAAAAGTACTCTTGCTTGAGACGAAGTTCTTTACCAATGAACACCTGAACATTAAATATTGAAGAAGGTAACCGGGAAGTTGTTCGCCATTGCGATCAACGTGAGAACAGGACTGACATTGTCGTTAGGGTAAAGAACGCGGGTGATGTTCTCGGAAAGGTTGCGATCCATGACAGCCTGCACGTAGTCGCCGTCATTGAAGAACTTCAGATGGAAATGGTTTTCTGCCTAAAGTAGGGAAATAGTATTAGCCAGGCAATGAATGTACAAATTTGTAATCACACATATACCCAATGGGGGAGGGGTACTACAGCAAAAAAAGAACAGCGCAGTGAAATCGAAGAGCTACCTTTGCACTCCAAAGACGTAAGGTGTTGACGACATTGTTGCGGTATCCAGGAACGGGCGTATCATATGGCATTGCAAACACTACTTGAGTATCCACCCACTGCGCCTGAAAGAAAACCTCTGTTGTAAAATAATCTTACAGGATTAAATGCCTTACACTGTCCGGGATAAGGGTTACGGAACCCACCACCTTGAGAAAATATCAAGAAATATTACTTAATTTACTAATTCTCCACGCACAGGTAATTTTCGTCCATAAAAAAGAGATAAAGAAGAACTCGAGTGGCATTAAGAATACGACTACGACCACGTATGCCATAGAACGCATTCCTTCAAGTCCTACCTTGCCCTTCTCATCTTTGACTACTTTTCCATAGAAGTTCACAGGCAGCATGTACTCTGGACGTGCTTTCTCCCATGGATTACCGAATCGAAGCCAGTCATCCGGCTCTTCCACCTGTAATGATTTCAGTAACATTGGGCCTGCATGAATGAAAAACAAAGCAGTTCATACAAAGGGCTGGAAGCGCTAGCAAGCCCTCACAAACTATTACCCGTCTTTAGCTTCATTCTGAAAGACGAGTTTCGCGAAGACTGCTGATAGTTCAGAGAAGAAGAAAGCTTTAGCTGTAAGAGGTTGAGCGAAAAACGGACAAGTCCCTCGGCCTCCTATGGCGCTTTCGTCATTTACATTTGAATCTATAATACTTAAAAGAATATAGCTCCAGCCAGTGACCATCCCTCTTCGGGACGCGGCACGCAAACTGCTTCCATTCAAAATCGTAGATTTCAGCGATAAGGAGAGCGTAGCTATCAACCTAGCGTTTTGAGTGTCCGCCAGCGCTTGAGCGTTCTGGAATACTGAGAAAGGATATATGTCGGTTTCTCCCGGTGAAAGACCTTGCGAGCGCTCAAAACATGGGTGGACCTTGAAAACGCTGAATTTCTTAGTCGCTCGAAGCGCTACCCAAAAGTATGAACGCATTCTCACTGGATACGGCTTGACCTATGATTCGACAGGGCAGACGATCTACGCGCGGATGAAATAAATACTTTTGCCTACCCGGACAAATGTGGTACCAATCAGCTCCCATGCATGAAAGATAACCGCCATTGAGGTATAGAAGGTTACTCCTGCAATCCGCCCCTGATCTGGAAGGTTTGCTATCCAAAGCTGGAGTTGGTCGCGGACCGTGTGAGTGGTGAACGGAACACTTGCCACCTCGTCTAACCCTAATGCTTATAAGGATAAAAAGTCTCGTATTTGCTTGTCGCTAATCTTGAAATTCACAAAAGCAAGAACTTGCAAGGGAAAGATGATGTTTAAAGGTGGAACTATTTAACAGTCAAGTGAGGGGGCACACTTCCAGCATTTTGCACCCTAGATTCAGTAATACAACGCACCTGCCATCCGTCCTTGATCAATTGCTTGAAAATTCCATACTCATATCGAAGTCCGTACCCATAAGCTGGTATGCCCAGTGTGGCCATGGAATCGAGGAAACAGGCCGCTAACCGTCCAAGACCTCCATTTCCAAGTCCTGCATCTTCCTCTATCTCTTGTAACTCTTCAATCTCCAAGCCAAGCTGGAATAATATTTTACGTGATCAGTAGAGAACACTGATAAGCTTGCTGGTAAACAAAACACGGTTACCTGATAAAGCGCTTCGTCGACAGTAGCTTGCAGACCAAGGTTCATCATGGTGTTCGATAGAGTTCGGCCCATGTAGAACTCGAGAGAAAGATAGTAAACCCTCTGAACATCTCACGCAGGTGAAATCCTGGCACGTAACATTGTGTAAGAAAAACAACCTTCGGATCCTTCTCGTAGTAGTACTGCTGGGTACGAATCCATCTGCTGACAAGATGATCTCTAACTGTGTTAGCCAGGGCCATGTAGTAATCCCTTGGAGTAGCGACATTTCTATCCTACAAACAAAATTACAATAAGACAACTATCAAATCTATGATGCTGCAGAGAAGGGCTTCCGTTATGAATAGTTTCAAGCGCTATTCCAGTAAGTTAAACCGGTGTTGTCTATTGCCAACCGGACATGCTCTCGCTGCGAGGGTACACAGGTAGTTTCTCACTGCATCTACTGGCCCAGCAGGTGAAGGGGGATGGAAGAGGATGAGGGAAGAGAGAAGGAAGGAATGAACGAAAAGAAGGAAGGAACAAGGAAAAAGGATGGAGACTTCGCGGTTGACAGGGATGAGTAGACGATTCCAACTGCGATGGGGCATTTTGGTGCACTAGTTCGTCGGGCTACGGTAATCCCAATTCTGCACAAGAAGATCTATTGGTTACCTACGCACAACTCACACCCTCTGTAGGCCAGGGCACATCGTTGTTGGGGAATCCCCAACAGGGGGTCGTATTTGGGCTGAGGAAAATCTATTTCGATATGGATTTTATGGTTTTTTCGAGTTGATTTTTCTCGCTTCACGGACGTTGTAAAGGTGGGGGGCGGGTATAGTAGTTACTCTTTGGTGGCGGAGTGCCGGAAAAAAAGGGGGGCTTCGTACGGAGTGGATCAAAATCCAAAATGATGTGCCCTGTTGTAGGCTTCGATATTTAGTTTTACTCTGCACCCTTTGTCTGTATGGCATTCAATGGTCACTGTGACCTTGACAATAGAACCCACCTTCCGAAGTATTTCATTGAATTTATCTTTATGTTGGACGGCATTTTGTACGAAGACAGTGGTGCGGTGGAGGGGGACCATTCACCAGCATGTCTCTATCGCTTCCTCTAACCGAGTCTTCACTACGGGACTATCCCTCGGCGATTCTGGTCGTCTGCGCTCTAAGCCTCAGCCTCTTTGAGGGAGGGCTACAGATGCGCGGCCGAGTGGTCTCTCCTCTCCTTGTGTCGCTATTCAAACTTACCGGCGGCCACACTTCTGGCTGCAAGCACAATTAAACGACTGGCCCCTAAACCATATGCCATAGTATAGGAGGCTTAGCTTGTTGCAAACTCGAGAAGAAAGGAGCACTGAGGTAGGCGCAGCGGTGCACTATCCCCGGATGTAATTACCCTTGAGGCTAGCCAAAATTCCTGATCCTCTTGCCTTGCAAGGACAGAGGGATACGGAGGGGATCTTTGCAGGTCTCACGTATCGCCACTTACTATGCACATCGGCCAGTCTCAATCTCGAGCGAATAGACAAAGGTCGCTGACATCAAGAGTGGTTCCTTCAATCCTAAATGCTGTCAACACAGGAAAAAAATTGAAGAAATAATGTGAAAAAGAGGCTCAAAGCTTAAGAGCCCGTATACTAAATATAGACTACGGCACTATTTACCCTTTACTGCCCCAGCCATCCGAAATCAGGCCGGTTCCTGACCGACTTTTTTCTCCGTGGGCAGAATTCGCTGAAAAGTTGCCTCCAGGGTAGTCGCACCGCTGAACACGAATATCGCATCACTTGACCCGAAACCTCCTGGCGCCCGCGCCACGGGCGCCGGCGCCAAAATACTCGAAATCACCAAATTCGCTGAAAACTTGCTCCCAGGGGTAGTTCGACCCCCTGATCACGAATACCACTTCCATATTGCATGAAAAAATGCATGACCAACGCTTCTTCGAAAATCCCGCGCTCGCCCAGCTTTCACACGCAAGCTCGTGGGAAATGGATTATCCGCACGGATCGTGTGTGAGTGCTTTTCTCGTGGTGACGTCTTCAAAACTGACCTATTAACTTGGGAAGCCCCTTTGCTTCTCATTTAGCTATTCTCATGGCTCTGAACGTACTTCATCGTACTTTAGTGATTCAGAGCTATTTGCGCAGCCGGCGTCCGGCGTCGGGCGCCAGGAGGTTCGTGGTCAAGCGGATGCGATATTCGTGTTTCAGCGGGTCGAACTACCCCTGGAGCCAACTTTTCAGCGAATTCTGCCCACGGAGAAAAAAGTCGGTCAGAAACCGGCGCGGATTTCGGATGACTGGGGCCCAGTTATTACGAGGGTAAATAGTGCCCATGTCTAGCGTTTTGCACAAAAATGTTTTACCATATGGGAATAGCGCTCTGGGTGTGCAGTTGGTAAAAGTCATTAGTAAACGCAGCACTCGTGCGGAAGTACCAAGGGTAACGCTTATGCTTTCGCAAAACAAGCCAACATTGGCAAGTCAGGGAAGTGTTTTTCTAGCAGAGGAGATAAAGGGGACGAGCACGACAGACCATGATGGATTACCAAGGGCAAGTCCGACTGGCTGTTACAACTGCGACGCGCACAAGCGCCAAACCTCGCGTGGCAACATTTTACTGATGTCCTCTTTTCGGAGGAGAAGGCGTTCCAAGGCTACACCGATGAGGACTGGGCTGTACTTTGGCACTCAAGATGCTAATCAGGATCAGCTTAGAGCAAGCCCCTAAGCTGATCCTGATTAGTATCTTCCACAAGCCTGAAAATATATTAGGTCATCCCATTCAAAAGTGCCGCTACATATAGAGGAATGGCAGAAAAGCAAAGGGGATAGAGCAGCGGGCTACTATACCATTTGGAAGCTAGTACCTTAGCTGTGTATCTGTGAAATTTGGCGAACCTACCCACAGAAGAAGTTCTCGAGAAATTGAAAAGAAGCCCGAGTGGTGAAAATCAGCGCCGGATTTTCAAATCAGGCGTCATAAGAGGAAAGTGCGCTGCTCAAATTTGACCGGCGCCGGACCAGTAGTTGTGTGTAATGGTGTTCTCGAAACAAGGTGGAAGGTTTGGTTCAGGAGCCCGAAGAAGGAAGAAAGGAAAAAATTTGTTGTCGTGGATGGTCCCATAATGTTCATCCTGCACAAGAAAAAAGGGTGGATGAAGTCAAGCGCTGAATGTCTGATCACAGAGCCTGGACCTTTGTCGAGCTTCCCCGCGAGACTGACATCCCTGCTGCAACTGCTGCCCGAGTTATGTCCGATAAACTGAGGATGGTCAAGAGGGTGTGCGCATGGGTACCTAATTTTCTTGTAGAAGCACGAACGCCAGCCAAAACTCACACTCGTTGATTTCGCATAACGCAGATGAGGAACCGCTCGATCTCTGCCATGAGTAGTTACGGG